GGAAAAGTTGTGTTTAGTATAAAGGAAATAAAACTGTTCATAACTAGAAAGTCAACGCAAACTCAGTTACCAAATGAAGCACTAGGAAATCACTACTTTCAACAGAAGTTGTACCAAAAACATACATATGTACTACGTTCCAACTCTCAAATGAAAAACTTCATTCGCCACAAATGCACTTTGATAACTATGAAGAGTAAGCAAGTCTTTCAGTTGAAATGAAATCATAGAACGTAAACGTCGTCTAAGGCTTTAGAGCAGCAAATTTATGAGCTGCAGAGTAAAATCAAGTGCAAATTAGTTGAGGTGATGTTCGGCGTAGGCGTCCTGGCAGGCGTCGATCGTCAACACCTGAAATAGCATTACGACGTCGCTAAGGCGCCATGCACTAGAGGCGCCTCGACAAACTGGCGCACAGGAAGTAGTATTAACGACACGCAGACATAATATTTACTTTGGAATTGAAGAATGAGATTTCAAAGCGCATACATAGATACATAAATATGTATGTATGCATAAGGTGAGTAATATAAATACATTTTCATGTATGCATGTAAGTGATTTCATGCGACTACTGGCCAGTGGCAGAAACTACACTACCAGCGACCATTTTACGTTTACTGGCGCGCTACTGTTGCATGCTAGTGGAGGCAACACTTCCGACGCCTTGGCATATGCATATGCATAAGTATGTATGCACATCGGTTAATGCTTATGTACATACATATATATTTAAAGCATACCCATGGGCCCTTGCACCTTTTAATGGTACCTACTGGTGGCGACAAGCTGACTGGCAGTTCATGGCACCCTGCCTCCTTCGACCACTCTGCTTAGTCAGTCAGTCAGTTGGCGGCTGGCAACAGGTATATTACACGCACAAACTAAATGCAAAAAAAAGAACTGGAAACATACTTAAGTGACTGCAGACAGTTATCCGCATGAATGCACATATGTACATATGTATGCCTGTTGAAATCAGCGTTACTGAGTTGAGTGCACTTCACATTCTTAGCTGCTGATTCATGCATCCTTCGCTCGATGGCAAGTCCTTGTCACTATTATAGTACGCTTTGTGTCGTTGCACTTGTCGACAATGACCTCTGTCCGCCTCAAGAGCATTCCACTCGACGCACTATTGTCATTAAATTGTTGTCCTATAGCTGCATTGTTGGCATTGTTTCTTGTTTTTTTTTACGCCTAATTGTACGCATTGCTGTCGCAAATAATTGTTGGTGAGTATTTTTGGTGTATAGGCTTTGTTTTTGTTGCCACCATTGGGTAGACAGTTGTACCTATGTATATGGATAGTTGCGAACGTAGAAAAAGCAGTTACTTCTTAAAACAATGCTTATTAAAATTATTTGTATTTTTAGACAATGCGTATGTCCTTGTTGTGGCCTTTCTTGCGTTACCCAAAATTTTGGTGAATTTTATTACGGCGACGTCATTTTTTCAAGTCACGAATATTCTTGGGCATTTAATTACATATTTATCTAAATGCCATAATGATTTACAGAATTTTTAGTTTACTCATTCTCAAACAGTGGGTTAAGGAAACATATTCGGAATAGTGAATGCATAATATTCATACTCTCTCACGGGCTCAATGTTTATTGAGTTGTCGAAATTCATAGGCACAGAAAATTAGTTGTCGAAGTTTACGGATAGCTATCGAGCTCTAAAAATTTATCGGATTATCGAAATTTTTCAAGTTAATGAAATTTATCATGTTATCGATATTTATTGAACTATGATTATTTAGCGAGTTAACGAAATTTATCGAGTTATCTTAATGTATCCAGTTTCTTCAACTTATCGAATTTTTAAAATATATCGAGTTATCGAAATTTTAGTGTTGTATAAGTCTATAGAGTTATCACTGCTTATCGAATTTCATGGTGTTTGTCGATAGCGTTCGAAAAATATCGAACTATCAAAATTAACAAGCGTTCGAAATTTATAGAGTTATACAAAGTTTATCGATTTGTATCGAGGTATATACATTTTTGAATTATCGAAATTTATAGAAATTAGTCAAGCTATCGAATATTGTTGAGTTATCGGATTTTATAATAATAATAGATTGGCGCTTACACATATGTTAGTGTTTGGCCGAGCTTCTCCTCCGATTTGTGGCGTGCGCCTTGATGTTGTCACACAAAACGGAGGGACCTACAGTTTTACGCCGACTCCGAACGGCGATTGTATTTTTATGAGAAGCTGTTTTTCATGGCAGAAATACACTCGGAGGTTTGCCATTGCCTGCCGAGGGACGACCGCTGTTAAGAAAAAACCTTTTTTCTATTGGGGTGTTCACAGTTCGTTCCAAATAGTGTCTCAAAATGTAGACGTCTACATTTTAAGACGTTTTCTAACCGTAAAATCTGTGGTGTTGTTGTTTCCCATACAAAATTGGAAAACGACGCCGTCTACATTTTGTCACACTCAAAGGTATGTTTTTTACGCGTCTACATTTTGCAACCTCGCAGCAGGGTTGCATTATGGCAATACTAATCGCATTTTTTTTATTTATTGGGCACGTTTTCTGTATTTGCATTTAATTTGAGCGCAATTTCTGATGAAAAGAAACAAATGAAGGCAAAGAAATGACAAATATTACGAATTGGTAATTAAGTTAAATAATTACAATTTTTCAGAAACAAAATCGAAAGGCGACATATAAAAAATGCACGCAAGGAAGAAATGTCTGGCAACACCAGCATAGTTTTGAGACGATTTTGCGACGACTACTAGAAAGGGGTGCTCACAGTTTGATGCTAAAGATGTCTCAAAATGTAGACGTCTACATTTTCAGACACAATTTGGAACAAACTGTGAACACCCCATATATTTTTTGCGATGTTGCTTTGACCAGGGTTTGAACCCAGGCGTTGCGGAGTGGAAGCGCGCACTGCTTACCACTACACCACAGCGGCCGACGAGTTATCGGATTTTAGTGTTTTTAAAATTCATTGAATTATCGATATGTATCAAATTATCGGCATTTATCGACTATCTGGAATGCATTGGGTCAACTTCAAGTCCTGCCAAAGTCCTCCAAAGACCTTCAGAGATGGAAAAAATTTTAGCCATATTTCAGTTCCAGAGCAGGAGACGTGCTAAGTTAGAAAATCTCCCTAATGGTCTTGAAAAAAACTAGAAAAGCGGTTGAATTTCGACAGTATCTGGCGCTCCTAGTTAGTTCCTAATTTTTTAGTTTTTTAATTAACGGGAAGCTGACTATGGATAGTTGGACGTTTGGGCTCATTAGGGGGCAAACCCGAGGGGTTTGACTGGTCATATTCGGTTTAACGCGCTCCAAAAAAACATAGAAATACACACACATTTTACAGTTTTATGAAAATTTAAAATTCAACCTCACCGTCTCAGGGTGTATTAAGGGGGTTCTAGAGAGTGAGGGAGCGGTCTAAGTAATTTTTTGTAGCCATTTTCGATTTAAGTGGCGAGGAAAATATAGGTATACGCAGCCATCTAAACTTTTCATGTAAAATTAAATTCATAGGGGTGGTTGAAAGGGGCGCTAGGCGGGAAGATGGTCACTTGAAAGTATTTTTTTTTGGTCACGTTCGTTTACCCTCTGGTTCACAACATTTCCGTTTTGTGTGCCTAAGTAATTAATAGTCTACTGCTTTCGCATTTTCCACCTAAAAGTGTCCAAGACTTATTTTTTAAAGTTTGATATATTCACAAAAGTTAAGGCCTGAAATAGTTTGAAGAAATTTCAGCGAAAAAGCCAACCAGATAAAATTTAGTAACCATAAAAGAGGGTATAATACCTGCAAAATTCACTTGTAGGCAATATTAAAAAACAAATATATATATATATTGTAGTCGTTCGATTCCATATACCCGAAATAGGTTGAAACCGTCCTCTCCGGCCATGCCTTCTTTTTACGGCTATGTGTTATTGTTAAGATTTCATAGATCTTCTGTGCGCTTAAATCAATTTTATGCCTTCTACACTCGCTCGAAAGACTTCAATGAAAATCAAGTTCACAGAAGTTAAATTAAAGGTTAACAAGCAAAATTACTTCACTCTTCCTTTAGCAGTTTTGTGCGATTTCACAAATCTTCGCTCTTCGACCACAAATTTACTGTCTAACCATAAAGTTTTATGGCCACAAACACATGTCTGTTGGTATTTTCAGACAACTTGGTTACTTTGCGGAATTGAACAGATGATGGTGAAAATATGCAAAATAGTGTTGCCAAAGTAAAGCTCAAACAAACAAATTTACAACTCAGTGTCAACAGCAAATAAACCTGCAGCAAAAGTTTTTCGCATAGTTTTGTTGTGCTATAAAAGTTATAATCTACAGCTATGTATGTAGTAATGGTATAATAATGGACAAGATTGAGTTTAAAGCAAACGAAGTGATTTTTGGCAAAATTCAAGCATGAAAGGAGAAACAGCTTAGTGCAGGGGTTAATAAAAGTGACATTGATAGGTCAACATTGTTAAAGCTTAACTTATTTGCTTGATATAGCGATGCACTGGGGCCGGCTCTATTTATTGCAAATATTTATTTTCATATAAAATTGTGGAACTTTCTTAACGACTGCGTTTTCCTTTAAAAACCAATATTTTTTTTAATCAGCTGTTATTTTTGTAGCTAGTTGTGCTTTTGCATGTGCTACTTCGGTAAACATAGAATATTTAATGTTTTGCATTCAACAAGTTTGTAGCCAAAAAGAAAATACATAACTGCTGCGAAAAAGTTTTGCTGGAATTGCAGTCACTTCCATTTCCTATGCGATGGGTAATTTACAACCAGCCAAGTTTGCTTTGGCTCATTGCCAATTTTGAAACAGGTGTTATATGTACGAGTATATAAATTGCTCATTCATGAGTGCATACAAATGTTATTTAATGAAAAATATACATTTAAGTAAAATTCCACATGAAAGACAAATTAATTGTGAACTGCAAGGTTGAGCTTATTTTAACTAATTATTTTACCATTCTTTCATTTCAGCAGCCAAACTGGAGAAGTTATTAGAGCGACCAGAACCAACGCCAGGAGTTTCAGAAGGTAAAAAAGCTATAAGTAGTTTGAGCATTAAGCTGGGATCACAAGAATTGTCCATTTGTACAGAGTTGTACATTTTGACAGTTACAGAGTAGGGTTGTTTGGAAATTTATCCATTGAGCTGAACTTATTCTTGATAAAAATTTCTAGACAACAACACTCTGACTGCCAAAATATACAACTCTGTACAAATGTACAAATCGTGGAAATCTGCCTTAATTTTTATTTTATTCAAACAATGAGTATGGTCCTTTTAGCCTGGGCTAATCCGCAAACGAAGGAGAAGAGTTGTAACTTCTAGAGAATTTCGGAGTCATATGCTTTACTGGATCACAAATTTTAATTTGGTTTTTGTTCTCCAGACGCAACTATTCACTTTCTATGTAGAATTGCTCGGTGATTCCGAAATTCGGGTTAATTTTTTTGCTATGGATACGTTTTCGAGATATTTGCAATTTACCGTTATTCAGCTTAAAGCAAAAATTGGTTCCTTTTAATCGCGTATATCTTACGAACCAATTTAAAAATGTTAATACAAAAGACGGCAAATGAAAGATAATGAAATTCTCTTCCGCAAAGCTTATAATTTCTGACAAATTAATTAATCATTCCAGCTTTTTCTATTTTTATTAAAAAATGGGGAAAAATCAAATTTAGCAGAAGAAAAATTTAAAAAATAACAGGTTCTGTGCCAAATTTTTGCATTTGTACTATAGCCTGTTCTGTTAAAAAAAAAAGAATCAAGTTACTGATGAAGAGAATCGATGGATAAATACGAAATAGTGAGTGAGCCAATGAAAATGCGCAAAGATTTTTTGTATAGTAGCATCCATAGAACATTTTTGCTGTAAACGCCAGTCCCTTGTAGGATTCACTTATACTCACGGTCCTAAGTGATACCGCACAGGGTTTACAGTAATGCCCGTTTCGCTAAAAACCACTTGGCACTCAGAATCTCCCGTTTTCCTTCTAATATTTATTTTTTCGGCCTCATCCAGATCATCAAAGAAGTAACTGCCAAAAATTGTTACTCTCCCTTAGCTATTGCCGTGAAATGTTAGAAAAGGTGTTTGATGGTTTACCCCAAATCTTCGTCATAATCGTTCCAATCAGATCATGTTCGGTAAGAACTCCAGTTTCAATGCGGACGTCTTGCATCCTTAGATTAAGTAAAAACTTTGTGCATAGGGCTTTTATGACTGGCAAAAGTGTAATCTTTAATTGACAATTTCTATGATTTTTTCATTTATTTTAAGTTTTAAAGTAACTAAAATGAATTCATTTATAAATTACTACACTAAGGACCGTTTTCTTATGTAACCTCTAACTTTAGAGCTCACCTTATATTTAAAGGTAGCATTAAGATTTATGGTTGTGTCTAAAGTAAAACATTTTATTATCGGCTTTAAAGTGCTTTACAACCAAGAAACATAAATACTTTAAAAAACGATAATAGGAATGCTTTACTTTAGACATAGCTATTTATTTTAAAGTAATCCTTAAGCATGAAATGAGCTTTAAACTAAAGGCTATACTTGAGAAAACGGCGCTAAATATTCTTCATCTCGATCTCCTTTTAGAATGGGGCTCTGGTTGGACTGGACCAAATTTTATTGTGGAAATCGAAGAGACTGGATCTGCCGCAGCAACGACCTCAGATTATATCAGCAGCCACGAAGATGTGACCAACGAAACAGCATTGAACTCCACCGCGGCGGGGAGTGGTAAGTTAACAAGAAGTAAATTAGGATATGTGATGACGATAGATTATAGCTACATATGTGCATACATAGATGCATAGTAGAGGTATACATTGTTGTAAATATTATTAATGGAAAAGTGATGAGTGCTTGGAGGTCTAGACTCTAGACTATCCAATCCACTAACAGGAATGTGGAACATAAAATGCATTAGTTTATCCATGAACAATTTGAGCATCATTATGGGAATTCTATCAGGAAACTGCAGGCAAACTAGCATAAGCAATACAAATTCTGCAGGAAAGAAAACGAAACTGCACAGCACGTATCGGAACAGTGCATTGCATAGAAGAACAAAGTAAACAAAAAAACTTGGGTGAACATCTTATAACTCAGTGAGAGAATTCATAAAACTGCTCTAAAAGAGGATTAAAATATGGGCGAATAATATATTTCGGAAAATTTCATCTCTTTGAAAAAAAAAGTAAATCAAATCAACTTGAACTTCGTCCCGCCTAAAACCTTTTTTCCCATTTATATCTTGGTTAAAATAAAGACATGAAAACTGCCCATTTTGGGAATATTTTGACAGTTTTTCTTCTGTAATTTTATGAAACAAGGCTATTTATTAGCTGGCAATTTTATGACGAAAAACATGGAACTGTATCGGTTTTAAGGAAATAAATTGGTGGGAGCCATTTAAGAAATGACAAATTTTATGTTTACCTTGGGGAAGTACCCACTTACATATTTTGTGAAGCATGTAAATATATGCATAAAGGGCAACTTGAAGTTTATTCATCATTTGATATAAATATTAATAATATAAAAATAATTTTCAGAGCCTCTCCTTAATACATATATAAAAAAGTGCGATACAAAATGTGAACTAACTTTTTAACTAATCTAGTTCAGGTACATACACTGCTCGAAGAATTTTTTATGTTTGGAATATTTTTAATTTGGGAAAAACTAACTGAATATACGAGCGAATTTTGTATGTGCTCTGAATAATCTTATATTTTCCTGGTATCGCGTTCATATGTACCAGCTGCACTATATGTATCATTAACAGGTAGTCTTTGATTATTTTGAGGAAACTAATAATGAATAGTGTGAGGTATAACATTTTTGTTTACCGGTTTGGGGAGTTCTAACTAGTACCTGTGAGTTAATTAAATATTTGTACCTGTTGTTCGTTCGTAACGAGTCAAAAGTCGCTAACAAATTAATTTTGGTTGTATAAAAAGATCACCGGCTTCGAGAATTGCCACAATCTGCAGTAGTTATTCGCCACAAACACATTTTATCTTGAATTATTAAACTCCGTAGCCATGGGCGCACTACAGTCTAAGAAAAAAACTATCAAAAGAGACATACAAACGCCAATATTTGGGCGTTACACCATCAAAAATGAAGATACCGTGGGACGCCCTACACCTCTTGCTAAACCAGTTTCTGCATCACCAGCCGGTGCAACTGTCGCTGCTCGAATCGCGACTAGTAGAACAGAACTACCCGCGTTAAGAAAACACCAAAAATACGTTCCGGTTTATGCGCCCTGGATAGAGGCCTTTAAAGATTGCGAAACACGCAAGCTCCGTAGCGTTTCTCATAAAAAAATAGAAAGTGCACTTCTGCAGCATGTGTCAGCTACAAAACAAAACAGTCAACAAACCCGAATTCCAAATCACACAGGCTCCATGAATGGTGAGAGCCGCAAAGAGGCAAATCTGTGTTATACCATTAAAGAAAAATCTTGCCTGCAACAACGTCGCATCTCTATACGAGAACGACCGCCATCAAAGAAGACGATGGACTCACAAGTACCCGCACCATCAGCTGTTCATGACCAAACAATTGAAAGTTGCTATGGATCTATGCTAAGCAATAGTAATAGTGAGAGTGTTGACACCAACAACAGTAAGCCTATGGAGAGCAATTTACGTGAAGCAGTCAAAGCAGCACACAATGAAACACCATCGAAGGAAGGGCACAATAGTCGCAAGCCACATTTTTTGTACAATATCACTCCTGAACGAGCGGTCATCATTGAGAAACTCATGACTGAAATCAAGCAGCACACTGAGAAAAAGAGTGAGAAGAGTAAAGTGAACGTTACTCCGTCGCCAAAGCAACCAAAGCAAATGGTCACTAAACGCTCGCCGACTGCACAAAGTCACTCGCAGAATTTTTTGATGAAGTTACGAAATCGTAGAGCATATATAATAGATAGAATTTACGTTGATGTGCAGAACTCAAAATAATTGATAATACAGTGAGAAGTTTAAACTTTTAGTTCCTTTGTTCTTCAAAAATTGTAATCTTAAAATAAACATAAATAATTCAATTAGTACATTTCATTTGGCTTGTAAGTACAGTAAAAAAGCATAAGTAAAATTTTGGTATTGTAGTGTTTAGTTCGCAAATAAGCACTCTCTTAAACTTTCGCTATAAACCATGAACCTGAACTTTGTGAACTTTCAGTTAAGGCGTTATACGTAGTTATTTTCCATAAAAGTTTGGGATTTATTTTAGTATGACCTTTTATGTTGAGGACTGCCGTTGGAGAGAACATATTTTGGGCACTTGAGTTAGTGCCCTGGGGCTGATGGAACTGGAATTTTGAAGAGAGCATCCTAATGGGCTTGAATGTATTACGTATTGCTCGAATGACTCGATATTCGAAAAAAAAAATTAAATTTGTCGCGGGAAAAATTATTTTCAATTTCAACGCAGCATTTCCGAATGTATTTCATTTTTTATCCCTTCGGTTCATTTGAGTTTGCGACAGACAAAAACAAATAATTGTGTACCTGTTTGAGCGCAAAATACTACCCACAAATGTAGTATATAGTGATGCCTAGATACTAAAGGAAAAAACATTCAGGTACTCAAGTATTTGAAGGACGCTGTCTAGTCGATTTTTGTATACTAAACCGTTAAACAAAAAAATAATAATAATCGGTTTTTAGACATTTATGATATATTGAAATGGTCCGTGGTTTTCGTGATATTTCAAGACTTCAAGATTTTCTTGTGATTTTTGGGAGGTTTTAGGGACTTTTGGGACTTTTCTGAATCCTTTTGCTCCTTCTACGATTTTTCTGAACTTTTTGGGGTTATTGCAAAAAATAAAAATAAACCTAAAACGTTTTGCAAGCTCAAACACTCGCAATTAGCTTTTGTTTTTCAATGCGTTCAATGCGGCAGACGTTTTAGTTACGCGGAAAATGGAAGAGGCAAAATAAAATTCGTTTGTTGTGCGCCTTCGGCATATTGGAACAAAAACATTTTTAATATAGCTTAAACAGCTTGCTTTAAGTTATTGATTTAGCTTTTGTTTACTTTATATATATACACGTGTAGGTATGTATAGCATTAAAGCACCAACCAACGGAGCTGTGTACATGCATAGATGTGTACAAACATACATACATACATATGTATATCTCTACTAATGCAAACAAAGGTGACTTTAAATTATGGGCAATGCAAAAAATAAATGAACAAAAGAAAATAAGTTAAAAGAGAAATGATGTTTGTTTACGTTTTCAAGCCTGTTATACACTTGAAAAAGAAAGTAAAGAAATACGAAATTGTGTTAAAGCCGGTGAAACAATATTTGACGAGTTGGAACCCCTACATTTAAAGGAATGCGAATTCAGCATCGTAACTAAATATTATATACGTTAGGGTGGTCCAAATATACACAACTTTTAGAAATCTTCCCGCTGTCACCACTATAACTAAAGAATATAGAAAATAAGGAGACCCGATTTGTTTTTTAATTTCGAAATCTCCACTTCTGGAGGGTACGGAAAACAAAAACTTGGGACCATCCCAATATAAGTATTATCTACATAGAGAACACCTGTAGCTAATTGCGCCGCGAGCGACAATCGAGCGATACCGGGGGCCTTTATAAAAGGAAGACAAGAGTGGCAGAAAGTCCAGTACACTTGAGCAGGGCTTGAGATGTTTACAGAATTATAAACTAAAAATTCCACAAATTAAATAAGATAAGACAAAGACGGAAGTGTGCTATTTTTACAGTTGACTTTTAGTTAGTTTATTAATTTTTTGGGTGTACTAGAACAAGAGACATCGCGACCTAAAAGATCTTTTGTGTCTCTTAAAGAGAGTCCCTAACCCATTGTGGCCAAGATACCTTCGGCTCCTCTAAGGAATATTAAAAGGGCCTTGGTAGGCGAATTCCTTATAACAAATGGTTCGACCATTGAAGATTTAGAATAAATCAGTCTTTGTCTGGCCAAAGCCGGACAGTGACAGAGAATATGAATATGCTCCGAAGTTTCATCACCTTCGAGGCAGAGCCGGCATTGCGACTCTGCGATCGCACCTATTTGGTGAAAGTGGAATTTCGATTGGTTATGACTGGCCAGGTACCCAGAAAATAGCCTGATGGAGGTAGGATAATAGAAATACGAAGAAAAATTAACTGTACAATAAAAGAGTGAAAATTTAGAGTTCATAGGCAATAAATGTGCAACAAAAAATACACAAAACTAAAATAAATTAGTCTTGGTTTCACACTTGCTAGAAGGCCAAAAATTTCGTGAATGAAAATTATGGAAATAATTTCCAGTAAGGTAGCCATGTATTGTGTTATACATACGTAGGATATGTATATATATGCCACGTGGCACACACATGTGTTTGACAACCCAGGACACGAAAAAAGAGCGGAAATTATATTCCTTTTCCCAGCCAAAGGTGAGCGTAAAGATCAAGTTTTACAACGCGCGTACGCAATTTCTACTCAAACCGTTGCCGCACGTGATTTGTACATATGTATGTCTATATGAATGTATGTAGATACAACCATAAGTGCTTAAACATACATATATTAAATATATATAGTTGCTAACATATGTTTAAATGGGAAAGAGGAAATTGCTAACAAGAATGAACGAATATACAGTATCGGTCATATCTATAGCACGCCATTTCAAAATGTTATTATTTGCCACTGATGTTTATTGTATTGATGTATTAAAAAACAGTTCATTCTCTAACAAAGCCCATAAAAATCCAAGTTTAAAACTTTATAGAAAGCTAAATAAAAAAATGCAACACATTTTCACCAAATTATTTCTCAGCAGTGTTGAAATTGTTTCGAGTATACAGTTGTGAAGTCCATTCAATTTCAGTGTGATAATATGCAAGTTTCAAGTGGCTAAAAATTCCCGTTGATTTTTTAGAATTTTTTTTTTTTGCCGAACATGTTGCGTTTTTTTTCGTATACAAATAGATTGCGTTTATTTGTTACATGGAAGCAAATGCGACAAAAAAAAAATCTAAAAAATCGGCGGTAGTTTTCAGCCACTTGAAACTTGCACATTATTAGACTAAAACTTGGGGTTTTACGGGTTTTGTAAGAGAATGAACTGCATTTTAATTGAAAAGTCTTAAAATTAATTAAATAAACATAAGTAGAAACCAGTGTAACCTTGAAACGGCATGCTATAGATGTGACCTATACTGTACATACATACTTGGACACATATAAATGTACATTAGGGTGGTCCAAAATAAGTAAAGTTGGGATTTTACTGCTCTCCCCTCCCCTCTTCCCCCTAGGATTGTTTTATATCGAAAAATATACCTTTTTTTATTTTGAAATCACAATATATTTAGAGCAAAATTTTCCATGCATTTTATATGGGAAAGAAACCATTTTTCGTGGAAATGGTTAAAATTCTTTAAAATAAAAATTTTTCGACCGAAGAACTTTGTTTGTCTTCAGGAGACTTCCAAAAACAATAAATAATTGTTTATTTAACAATTTTTAATACTCAATTTTTTTTATTCAACACTCCATTGCATTTTCTGGGGGTTTTGACGGACTTATAAAATAAAAACTTTATGTTGAAATAAAAGAATAGTTTGAGGTCACTCAAAGCGCTCAAAGTTTTTTATGTATTTTATATGAAAAAAAACATCTTTTCAGCAATAGTTTTCTTGGAAATCAATATTTTTCAATCGGAAAACTTTCCAAAAAAACTTCCAGTAATAATACCCAATTGTTTATTTAACCAGTATTTAATACAAATATTGACTTTCAAGAATTCTATACCATTTCCGGAAAGTTGTTTTTTCCCCATATAAAATACATGAAAAATTCTGAGCGCTTAGAGCGTCATCTAAATATTTTATGATTTTCAAAATAAAAAATAGGGCTATATTTTTTGCGGTATAGAACAATCCTAGGCGGTGAGAGCATAATAAAAATCCGACTATACTTTTTCCCCCACCCTCAAGCATTTCTGGACCACCCTAATGTACATACATAAGTAATTTGATCGGCGATGGGAACATCAACGGTATGTCGTTGACAAGCGTGGTCGACTTCGTGCCGCATATGTGACTCTCATGAAATTCAAGGATATTCTTCTGTTTACACAACCTACATACATATGTTTAAAGGTATATACAAAGTTATACATATATACATAACTGCTTGTATACATATAAATATTCATATTACGAAACGTATTTATCTACTACTTTGGCACGTGTGCTTACGTATATACATACATACACATATGCACATACATATGTATATCGAATTTAATGGCATTAACCATTTCCCGTATTATCCTGCAACTGTTACTTGGTTGCAAGTAATTAAAACAAATTACCAATTCATCCACCTGCCATTACAGTAGTAATTAAAAGTCGTTGCAGTGATTTGTACAACAGCGCGACTCATTGACTTCATTACTATTTGTTGCTGTATTTCCTCAACGCGCGCTGCCAGACTAGCCATTACGGGTTGTTTGTTTTTCTTTAATGTAATTTTCATTACATTTGTCTCCGTTTGTCATTTTCAAAGTCAATTTTAAAAGACAAATTCGCAACTTAGACGCTACGCTAGTAGCTTGGTTATTTTGCTTTCATTGATTTTTGCTCTAATTAAAATTGGTGTTCATTACAATCACACAAATTGCTTGAAATTTAATTGGCGTAAATGCATTTGCGAAAAGATAGTGAATTATTTATTATTCTCTACCATATTTTATTGTTGTAATCTGTGTAAATCTTATAATCGCATAACTCGATAAGCTAATAAGAAGACAGTTTGAACACCCAATATTTATTTATCTGATCGTTGCTTTTCTTTTTAATCGAATTTCAAAGGTCCCAAAATCGTCGTGCGACCAGAGGAGGTAATCATTGTTGGCCTCGTATTGATGCTTTGGGTGGGCGCAATCGTTTTGTTCTTTAACCGTTGGGGTAAAATACGTATGCTGGAACCGTATCAACCGAAATTTCAGCAACAACATCGATCTTCCTGTCCGCTGGTCGATATGGACGCAATACCAACACATGGGGTGAGTATTTTTTGAATTTAAATTAGATATATACATATATTTATATATATGCGATGTCTTTTCCGTCATCTATTATCAAATTTGTGTTTGGCGACAAACCGGTTTCGGCGATATGCCATCTTCAGTGTCATTTTCGAGAACGCTGAAGGGATGACGGAAACTCCTTCCAAAATACATCGTATACAAACCCTGCCTGAAACAACAACAACCAAAAAGAATATAAATATATATATACCTTTCATGAACTTGAAATGGTATTCTAGCTTTAGTCCAATATTTGTAAGTACCAGATGAAGAAGAGATACACCCCCGAAAGAGTCCCTATGAACATTCAGACTAATTTTAGACTTCAGAAAAGTCTCAGAATTCTTAGTTGTGAACCTAAAAAAAGTGTCAGAAAAGAGCATGCTTCCCTTTTTAGAAAGGCACGCCAATATGGGTCCAAGTTAGGAGCCATAGGAGTCTGAAATATGACGCTTTCTTAGTCTTAAAAACAAACATTCCTTATAATTCTGATTATTAATATAATTTTACCTCTACGTGAACTTTGTTACTTTTGTTCAACTCAGCATTTAAGACATCAAAAGAGTCCCAAAATGAGTCAGTCTGGTTGATTGGTCTCAGAATCATATTTATGAAGAGAGAAGGACTCACTTTAGACTCATAAATTCTGAGTACTCATACAATTTTTTAAAGGGATATACCAAAATGATTAGAATATCTGTCTGTCTGCGTGAATAGAATCTATTACCTCAGTTTTCAAGGTATACGACTGAAATTTAGTAAGCGGGTGCCTATTTATGATGTACCTCACATATAAAAGATTGGTCAGATATGAGATTTTGGTAGGAAAGTTATACCAAACAAAAATATTGTGGGCAGTGTAGTTGCGTCCATTGAAATAAAACACCTATAGTAAGCTCTCGATAGTAAACTGAAGCATAAAGTTATGGATTTCCCTTGCTACCCAATATTCGGGTTGTCAAAAGGCCAAGAGATACATTTCTTCAGCCAGCTCGAAAGTTTAACGGAGATTGCAAGATTAAAAAGTCCTTCGAATGCCGAAGCCATACCACAGTTTTTCAAGAAATAATGAAGATTTTTATTAGGAAATCAAAAATTCGAATACATACTGAACTACGTTCACTGTTAAGTAATTTTGTTTTCGTATCTATTTCAGCGTGCATCTGTGTCTCGTATGTCAATGGGCCTAGTCAATAACATCAATATGCCAACATGTCATTTCGCTGCATATAATCCCACGATATATGCTAAAGGTAAGCATAATTTTTCAAATCTGATTTTGAATTTATTTATTTTTAAATTTTATAAATTTTTCTGGTCCGCTACTTATGTATTTTAGTTTTCAATTTATAGTTAAGCCTTTTCAAATTTTCTTAGTACCGTTTTCTCATGTACTAGGTTTTTAAATCTATCTAACCTTCAAACACATTTTGTCAGAATAAAATTTGTGTTTAAAGGACAGATAAATTTTAAAACCTACAACAACTTTCTTTGCCACAGCAGCGACTTACATAGAAAGGTGCTTGTTTGATAATCCACAACTACTGTCTAACGACATAAATTGTTAATTTATTGAAGCTTAAACATTGCACGAAAGTTGGTTGCTCCCTGATGGCTTGCAATACGCTTATCGCTGTTCAAAACACGCTTTCGAGTGATTCATGTACTCGTACATGCATATCTCCATGTGTATGCATTCATTGACATACATAAGTATTTATGCACATAAGTTTGCATACCAAAGTTTTCTTCGAAGCAACCACATGAGTGTGCTTTTTAATATCCCTAATACTTCAACTCACTCACTGACGTTGATAAATGATTACACAATTTTTCTACACACCTCCNGAAAAATTAAGTGCCATTTGAAGTAAAATAGGAACAAATGGCACGGTTTGAGCCTAGTTGGCATCCCTGCTTCCAATAACTTACAAATATAAAAATGTGAAATATCGAGGGCTTGAATTCATTAATACCCTCTATCTGCAATTTGCACAAAAACTAATTTGTGATTTTAGAAACCATCTGGAACTTATTACGTCGTTATATAAGGTAGCATTAATATCACTGATGACAGTTAAAGCTTAGGTGGATTTTTATATCAGAATCTCATCTTTGTGAAAAGTGTGCAGATAGGGGGTATCATTGAATATAAGCCCTCGATGTTTAAAATATATAAAAATTTTATTTCAACGTATACAAAAAATAAATCTACCTGCGCTACAGCACGTTAGGAGACGGGGAGGGGGGGCCGCGGCGTAGCGTGACGTGGTGTGCGCGCCGGCCGACGCTGACGCGGGCCGCCGCGAAGCTAAGCAAATTTAATGTTTGAAAGAGAAATAATGTCAATTGATTTTATTTCGTTTTTAAAGAGGTAATAATGTCAATTGACTTTATTTCGCACCAGGATGGGAAATAAAGTCAATTGACCTTATTTCCGTTGGTCTTATTACCTGTCACCAAAATTTAAGCACAAAGAATGTCGAATGGTCGGACAAATTCCGGAAGATTCCTTAAAATAAAAACTAGTTCCAAAAAATACCTAAGTTTTCTGATAAATAGGTCTAAGTTAGCCACGAGGAACACCGTCAAGACCCGAAATAAAATTCTGCATGGTCCCCAGAAAATTTTGAAATCACGAAATATCCAAATTTTTCTGGTCGTACTACTTCATTAATAGCGCCCAGCTAATCCAGCTATAGATAATCCATTTTTTTCACTAAAAATGAGGAGAGTCAAGTTTTGTAAGTCATAGGCAAATCACATTCTTAAATTAAAGAGAACACCAATGGTATCTTCAAAAAAAAAACTGTACAACAGTTTTTCACAACATCTTTTTGATGTCAAAATATAATCATAAATTGTATCTATAGTCTGTACTAAAAGCAGCCATAATCCAGTATTATTCATGACTTTTTTTCAAACTTTATTTTGGTAATTTAGGACAATAAAATATTGAAGGGGTTTTACAAAATATAAAATGTTATGAAAAATATCCAATTTTGGAAAATTTTAAAACTAAGCTTAGACGAACCATTCTCAGACGATAAAAACATCCCCATTTATGCTTTCAAACTAGGCAGTAATTACAAATTTTATTTTATTTTTTCTTATGGGGATTGACGCGATCTAATGCGAACCAGTCTAATATATATCAGCATGTATTAAGTTGGAATAATAAGTGTACATACATACATACGTATCTTTAAAAATTCAAAATTACGATGGTAATAGTCATTGACAGGAGTTGTTTCTGATTGGTGACCCTCACATTGTCCGATTTACTGCAGAAAGCCCAAAAGCTTGTTGATACATTTTCCTGTATTTTTTCGAACGAAATTTAAAATTGTAAGGCGTGACAAAAGGAAACACTAACTGACTGAGCTTGCAAGTGCAGATTTGAAATATCTGTATTGCATGTTGCATGCAAAGGTAGTTCATTTTAGATAGATCAGAGATGGGATTAGGGATGCACAAGTAACAAATACATCGATGTTTTTTATAAAAGTTATAAAAACTGACTTACACCCTGTCAAAATTATAGCGCACGACAAGATTTTTTTTTTGTTATTTAATTCTAGTAATTTTTTTAAATATAGCTTATTCTTTAACAAAAAACGTATAAACACAAATATATCAAACTTTGTGCAATATAAAAGAAAATCAACAAAAAATTATAGCTTTTTAATGAGATTTCTTAAAAAGATTTTCAGTATGCAGTTTTGTAGCCCATTAAATTTTTGTATGAAAAGTTCCATTACCTTATCTGGCACTTATCGCTGATTTTGGGATATTTCTGTTTGGTAATGGCGTTGCTTATTTTCTTATATATAAAAAAACGCACAACACCCAATTCGGAAAATAAAATAAAATATGTGCATACCTGGGTTGCGATTTTTTAGTAGCTACTTAGGTTAAGCTTGTGTTGCGGTTTTTGGCAGAAATATAGTTTAAAAAAATTTGCAGAATACGAGAATGTAAAAAACATCCCAACTTATTTTGATTCATACATTATTGTGTGAGTAAATTAGTAAATTTTTGATGGTTTCTTTTCGATTATTTTGAAAAATTAATCGGTTAATCGCTCGATGAATCAAAAGGAAAATTTCGATACAATTAAATCGTTAACCGATTGAAAATAATCGATCGGTTATTCGATTAATCGTGCCATCACTAGCCACCACCATGCCTAAAACCGAATTCGCAAAACAAATCACCAAATAATTTCTTGCCAAAGTTAAAAGAAAAATGTCAGCGTGTAGATAAAAATATTTTATTTTATTTATAACATAAAATTTCTTAAATTTTATCACATAAAAAAGCAATACCTAATTCTTAAAATTAATTAACAATTATAATATAAAATAATCATTAATTTTAACTCTAATGTACATGCCTCAGCACACACTTGCAAGCATTTGGTAATTTCACCATTCGCTCCTGCATAACGCCATCGACCAACACCACCAAACTTCTATAGACAAAATGTTGCCTGCATCTCGTCGTTATGCCAAATGGTAAGAGCTCTTCATACTTACAGGGCGTATTCTCGTTTTCACACTGCTCCACCAGCACGCCCTGTCTGTATTTTTGATGTTGTACCACCATCAACCAGCGCGATTCACTTGATTCAGCCACCTTTGGATAAACTACGCGCGTTTTACTGTTGCAAAAGTAACTCTCCGCTGGTTCAACATCCATGCGATTTGTAACATTTGCTGGCCGTACAAAATCATCTTTGAAGTAGGGTTTGAATTTTTCAAATTCATCTGTACTGAATTTATCTAACTGCGTTACTTCCAAATAATTTTCCACCTCTGTGCAAAATGGCGCTCCTGCACGTCGTTCGGGGCAAATAATTTCATCGTCTATGGGCATTTCTTTCGTTGTATTGAACACAGCAAAGCCTGGACCCACTTTAAAAATGCTGCCCAGATTCTCATCGATATTTTCTTTCGACGCTGGCGCTGGCCGGCTGCCCGTTGATTTGATTGTCAGCACAATAACAAGCAGCAAAAATTGTGAGTGTCTACGATAATGCAGCATTTTTAATTTGAATAAGGATCGCCTGAGTCTTTGGGGTTTTCCACCGCGAACTGAATGAATGATTTAGTAATTTCTAGTTGAGTTGAGTTAATTGACCAGTGCCGTTAAATACTTGGATTTTCCCACCGCTTTAAATTATCCGTAGTTAGAGTAAATTTTTTTTTTTGGTTTTTCCACAGTTGTATTAATTGATCAACTCAGTTAAACCTTGGGTTTTTCCCACTACTGAATGGATTTTGTAATATTTTTAGTTTTCATACTGCATGGCGCAGGTAGTCTTTTGTTAGAGCAGCATCCGGCGTTTGCTGTGTAAATGACAGATAGAAGCTCAGGTACTGGTAGCCTATAAAGAAAAGGTATTGTCTTCAGGCATACAAAAAACTCTTTACCAACTCCTTGAAAAAGTTTCGGTTAAGGCATAAATTGTGATGCAATTAAATTTAACGAGCACCATACTTTAACTAAACTGCCACTTGAAATACAATACATATATGAACAAGTTTTATTGAGGATTTCTTAGAATGCTGGTCATTAGTTGTTGTGGTTGTTAATCCTTACCGCGTCTGGAAAATTGACGCGAATAAAAACGATGTTGGTGCCTGCATCACTAGCAAACGAATCTTAAAATCTATGCATGAAATACATTAAAAACGAAGGGCTACGCACTACAGCTATGAAAAATTTTAACACCTAGTCTCTGAAGTTAATTATTTTGGCGGCGACACAGTTACACCGCGACTATGGTTGTGGCTGGATTTGATCTATGCATTTCTAGCGACAGATAAGGTTCTTCCTCTTCTTTTATGTCAATCTCATACAAATTAATGATGTCGCTGCCGCGGTAAAAAAAAAAAAAATCATCTCGCCATCGACAAAGCGTTTAGAAAATGAAGTTAAAAAATGTTAAGCTGTGGCCTCGGCTGGCCATTTCCAGTCTGTTTCAAGCAAGTTTTACATACATTTTATATGTATGATATACCTTCTGCAAGAAAAAAAAACAAGTAATTTTTAAGCAAATAACCAAACCGACTTCAATTCTCATATAAAAATTTAAGAAAACCTTTAATTTCTCTATAATCCAATGATCGAATCTAAACCAAGCTAGTGTGGGAACACCTCTAAGGTTCCACCTTTCCTTTAAAAAAATGATTCTAGTAATTGGTGAACGTGGTCCAAAGGTATACGGTAACATACACAAAACAAAAAT